GTGAGGGCAAAGTGAGTTGATAAAAGCAAAGAAATACAAGAATATAAATAGATGAGTACAGAGGATATGAAGAGACATTATAACTAATTTTACTGTTGCGGTTCGATACAGTGCGACTCGGGCAACTGCTCAATGTCGAGTCAGTTGTTTGTCCTTGCTGTCGCGCTGCGTCAGGTCAAAGGTCGCTGCCCTTTGACTTTCCCATAACCTCTGACGGTTACGTTAACCTCGTTGGTTGACTCGCGATGTTTCGACTTGAGCTGCTTCGTTTTGTGTCTTGAGTACTGACACGACAGAGGCGCTTAACTTATTTGTTCCCAACACTCCCCTTCGCTTCTGGAGTGTCGGTGATGGTGACGTGGCTTTGTCCAGTCAGCAGCATGCAGTACTCGAAATTCTGTTTTCCAAGTTTCTTGGTCAAGTAGTCGGCTGCCATCTCGGACGTGGGACAGTAGGATAGATCGAGTTTCCCTTTCTCGATTTCCTCTTTCACGAAGAAGTATCGCAGGGCGATATGCTTCGTTCTGTTTGCGAATCCGCTCTTGTTGGCGATGCGAATCGCGGATTGGTTGTCGCAGAACAAGGTGAAGTTGGGTAACTCGGCTAACTTTGCTTCTTCCAGCAGCTCGCGAAGGTAGAGTCCTTCCTTGGTGGCTGAGCAAAGGGCGATATATTCTGCTTCAGCTGAGGAGAGCGCAATTAGTTCCTGCTTGCTCGATTGCCAGGAAATAGGTCCGATAGGTTCTAGGCGATAGATGTAGCCAGTGCGAGAGCGCCTGTTATCTGAGTCGCCGGCGTGATCGGCATCGACATAGCGGATTAGTTTCGTCGGCGTAGTTGTGTCTTTGTAGTACGTCAGGCCGATCGTTGCGGTGCTCACGAAGTAGTGAAGAGCACGGTCGAGTTCTGCTAGGTGTTCTGCTTCGGGCCTCTTGAGATAGGTAGCAAGTTGGCTAGCAGAGAAGGACAGGTCTGGGCGGCAGGTGACGGCTGCGAAGAGCAGACAGCCCAGTTTTCGCTGGTAGTCGCCTATTCCGATGGTCTTAAGTAGGACGGAGCTTCCTTTGCCATTTCCTGCCGTGTAGCGGTATGGCGTGTGGATAGTAGCAGGTGTGAGTGCGAACCGTTTGGCGATGGTGTCGGCGTACTTCTCGGCGCTGAGATAGATCGCATTTTCTTCTTCGCGAATGTTGAGCCCGAGATACTGAGTGACGGTAGTAGAGACCGTGAGTGTGAGGTCCTTTTTCAGCTCCCCTTCGAACCAGGTAGCGATGTCGTCGGTAGAGCCGATGTAGAGTAGATCGTCGACGTAGACAATGAGCAGGATGTAATTGGCGCCTTTGGTGAGTCGATACATGCCTTGATCGTGAGGTAGTTAACGGAATCCGATGCGGATGAGGCGGGTGTGTAGGTGCTGTTGCCACAGTCGTGGGGCCTGTTTGATACCGTAAAGCGATTTTAGTAGTTGACAGACCTGATTGGGTTCCCCGTGAGTACCGTGAGGGAGCTCGACGAAGATTTCGGCGTCGACGGGTGCGTAGAGGAATGCGTTAGCGACATCGATTTGTCGCAGTTTCTTCTTCTTCATGGCGGCGATCGCAAGGAGGATTCGGAGAGAGGTGTGTCGGCTGACCGGGGCGAATGTCTCGGTGAAGTCCCGGCCTTGTTCCTGATCAAATCCTCACACGACCCATCGTGCCTTGAACTTCTCGATTGTGCCATCTGCTTTCGTTTTGATGCGGAAGACCCACTTCCCGGTAAGGATGGTCTTGTTTCTTGCTATGCTTGTTGGAACGACTTTCCAGGTGTTGCGTTCCTCCAATGCTTTTAACTCTCTGTCCATGGCTTCACGCCATTTCTCCTTGTGTTCCCCCCCCAGAGCCTGTTGAACTGTTGCAGGCTCTTTAGGAAGAGTGGAGCCATGGACTGCGGTGACGAGGCCGAGAATGTGCACTCCGGTCTGTGAGTAGCGAGGGAGTGTTGTGTCCTCAGGATAAGCTGCTTCATCTCCCGCATCTGGGTCGGGTATGAAATTCGGTCCTACTCTTTCTGCTTCAAGGATAGTATGGGACAAGCTGCTTCTGATGCTCAGTAAGTTGTAGCCGAGTCCTTCTGCTATTAGTACCTTTGACATGTGTAGTATAACATTAGTCTCCCTAGACTGAAGCTGTACCACTCCTTGTCGTCGTGTGCGCAGGTTCTGATTGTTGGCAACTGTGATGACCACCTCTCGTTGAAGTCGATGTTTGCGTTGGACGAAGCGTCCCGAAGAGCACATGTGTTGTCCGCAGCAACTGTCCAAGAACCAAGTATCTTTCCCGGATGGTTCACTTTGAGCAATGGCGGCGTACGTCGGATTCGGTTGAAGAGACTCGCGGCGAGGCGTGTTGTTGTCAAGTTGTTCTTCGGGTGAGTAGTACGGTGGTGACTCGATTGTGCAGGAGTCGGTTATCTTTACCATGCAGTTGACGATATTCCTTGGTTTTTGCGCAGGTTGTCCTGTTGGAGTCGTTGAAGCTTGGACTGAAGTTGTTGGGGCTGCTTGCGTTGAGGTGACTTGGCTGCTCGAAGGTCGGAGTTGTCGTTGTGGTGCTGTCGATTGATGACGATACGGGCAGTGAGTGCGAGGATGTCCTGAAGTCTTGCAGATATGGCAAAAAGGAGGTACTGGCTTTGGATGTTGTTGCTGTCGAGTGTTGCTATTGTTGTAGCGTCGCTGGGTGTGAAAGGCGAATTCTGGTACTGATGCCTTTTTCTTATGTCGTTCTTCTTGCAGGTCCATGTCTTGCTGCTCGGCGTGGATTTCGGCGCAAAGTGCCGCTTCGGAGATTCTTCCGTGTGCTCGTAATATGGCGCGAGTGGAGCGCCAGTGAGGGCCGAGACCGCAGATGACGACCATGACAAAGGCGTCTTCTGAAATTGAACCTCCACATCGAAGGAGCCTGTCGCGCAGCTCGCGGCAACGACTGATATACTCCATGCCTTTTTCGCCTGGCTTCATTTCGATTGTTGTTAGCTGCGCCATTAACTGGCTTTGGTTTACACTGTCTGTTGCTTGATACAGGTTCTTCAGGTGGTTGTACGCGAGCTCCGCGGAGTTGCCGTAGCCTCGGTAAGTCCTGATGTTCTGCTGCTAGGTCGGGGTGATGTTCCTCAGCAGTATCGTGTACGCCATCATTGATTGATAAGTATGCTGCTGCTTCTCATACTGTGTGCCGTTTGTTGGATATGGCAGGGATCCGTCGAAGAAGCCAAGGATTTGCGCTCCTTCCATCATCAGCTCGAATCGAAAGACCAGGTGAAGAAGTCTTTTCCGTCAAAGGGCTTTGTCGTTTGCAGCTTTAAAACGTGCGCGAATTGCGACTGAACTTGTAATGCGTCCAGTGCTCTCTCTTGTCCCGGTGCAAGTTGTGGTTGCGGCATAAAGCTGACGGAGCCACGCTGGGGCTCGTACGGAGCAAAGGTGGGTTGTTGATGTTGATTCCCGCGCGCGTAGGATGAGCCATCGAGACTCATAGGCGTCACGTTGTTGTTGTTGTTGCTGTTGTTTGATTGCGCAGGTGCTCCTTGCTGGTGCTGCTCGTAGAAGGACATGAAGGAGAAAAATTTCTCCATCATGCTTGGATCGAAGCCCGCGCCTTGGTTTGCGGGTGTTTCCGTAGACCCAGCTGCTGGTCTCGTCGTTGTCCCCTCCTCTGTCAGTAGGCCAGAGGCAGGTGGTGGAGTAGGGGTAGTACCGGGAGAGCCGTTGGAGGAGCTCCTCTCCTTTCTAGCAGACATGTCTTCTTTGATGTACTGAGTGTTGAATAATGAATTTTAACTCTAACTGCTCTCATACCATGTTGGGCTGAAACGCCCTAGGATCTTTGTAGAGTTAAAGTCTGAGTAGATGTTGTAATAGCGGAAGCGTTGAATAAAGCTCTTGAACCACCTTGCGCTAGTATGTGAGGGCAAAGTGAGTTGATAAAAGCAAAGAAATACAAGAATATAAATAGATGAGTACAGAGGATATGAAGAGACATTATAACTAATTTTACTGTTGCGGTTCGATACAGTGCGACTCGGGCAACTGCTCAATGTCGAGTCAGTTGTTTGTCCTTGCTGTCGCGCTGCGTCAGGTCAAAGGTCGCTGCCCTTTGACTTTCCCGTAACCTCCGACGGTTACGTTAACCTCGTTGGTTGACTCGCGCTGTTTCGACTTGAGCTGCTTCGTTTTGTGTCTTGAGTACTGACACGACAGAGGCGCTTAACTTATTTGTTCCCAACAAGTGTTTCGACACGACAGAGGCGCTTAGGACCGATTGTTTCCAACAACCTCGAGCAGTTGTTTTTCTCCTCAACCTCCAAGTATTGACTCGCCGATGCTTCGCTGTGCTTTGCCTTGTTTACGACTTAGTGTTTCGACACACAACAGAAGCGATTAAATTACTTATTTCCAACACTCCCCTTCGGATGTAGTAGCTGTAATTTTACTTGGGGGGTACACTTTATATAGCAAAGCATAAATGATATCTAATTTGATCTCAGATGATAAGCCCATGTACCAGGCGAACTATCTAGTTGTTCTCTTGCCTTGATATCTTGCAAACCATGTGTCTCTGCTCCACTCCACCCCTTACAAGCCTCGATGAGTTGAAAGGTCAAGGGTTGGTAAACCTCTCGGATATACCCCTTAGCCCACAGCCACACTGAGCCTAACAACCCCCCTACCTTCCATTTTTTATGGGCATTCCAACCCCACATGCCCAGTTGAAATGTCCATAAATTGTCGGGGTAGCATGGTTGATGAGGGGCAGGCAGGCTACCATATTAGAACGTCCAGTACAGTTTGATTACGCAGCTGCATTTGTTTTTTTCTTAAGACTTCACATGTGCAAGCTCTATAAGAAAGATTCACTTCAGTGAGCTTATATATGTAACACGGCGAGCTCAACACAGCACCGCCAAGTTGCTTAAGAACTACTGAGAAGCGCTAGCAAAGCAACTGGGCTTACTGATGCCTACCTTTCTCCCCTAAAACTGAGACTAGCTGGCCGTTTCCTCCTTGACGTCATGTCTGCCATCATTGGCACGCACTCATGCCTGCTACCCTCAGCCAGCTGATAACCCCTGAAGCACAGACACTCAAACTGCAGGTACTCTTCTGAAGCTGGTCCATAATCTGGTTGCGACCCTGATTCATAATCCTCTAGAGTGGTCGCCGGGACGCACACGCCATGGCCCGAGCAAGGAGCGTTAGTGGCATTGGTGCCACAGAACGTGCTGCAGAGCTCAGCACGGTGCACAGACTTCATAGGACAGACCTGATCGCCTGAAGCAAGGCAATTCCAGGAGGCGAGTAGCTTTGTGGTCGGCAAATCCAAGGGTGTGCCAGTTGGCGTGTAGTGATTGGGGGATTCAGCAGGGCAAATCGGTTCGTCTCCCACCAGAACTTCCCCACTCCCGTAGAAGAAATTTCCTCTGAAATCAGCTGCAAAATCCTGATTTGGTCGGGCTAAGTCCGGCAACCTGCCCGAGAAGAAATTGTGGGAGATGTTGAGGAAGCTCAGGGCGACGTTGACTAGGGCATCACGAGGCACGATCCCCACAAACCGATTATGGCTGAGCGTGATACTATCGAGGTTCTCCATGCCGCGTAGCGCCGTCCACGGAAAGATCCCAGTGAATCCGTTATAAGCCAGGTTGAGGTAGTTGAGCTGAGAGCCAGTACCCAACAAGTTTCGTGGAATCTTTCCTTGCAACGCGTTGCCTGCAAGACTCAGCCCCGTCAGGTTCTTCAACTGTGCGAACTCCGCCGGAAAGCTGCCCGAGATTTGATTCCAGCTGACATCGATGTACTGTAGCGAAGGGTGTACCGCTAATGGCGCTAACGAAGACGCGTATAACGAGTTGCGATGAAGGTCAAGCACTTCCAGCCGCCGCATGGAGTTAATCGCGCTGAAAGGAAGGTCACCCGTGAGGACATTGTGTCCCAGGCGAAGCGTGCGAAGTACGCGAAATTTGTCGAAACTGGAAGGTATTGATCCCGAAAGGCGATTGGATTCCAGCGAAAGCTCCACGAGTGACCGCATCGACGCGAGTTGCGGCGGGATGGCTCCTTCCAGGCTGTTGGAGGCAAGGTCGAGCCACGTCAGCCGATGCAGTGTCGAGATTTCGCGAGGAATCCGACCCGTGAGACTGTTTTCGCTCAAGGAGAGGGTTACCAGGTTCGTGAGCTCGCCAATCCCTCGCGGAACGTTGCCCGTCAGCTGGTTGTCGGAGAGGATAAGAATGGATAGGTCCGTAAGCGCTGTGACAGTCTCTGGAAAAGGTCCCGATAACCCGTCTCCGTTTCCCGAAATGTAAAGCTCCCGTAAGAACCGAAGGTTGCTGATTTCGCCAGGAAGCGAGCCAGTCAGATTGTTCCCCACAAGCGTGAGGCTCTCGAGGGCCGATAGGTCACCGAAGGTGGGCGAAATCCTTCCGGTAACACGTGACGAAATGAGCATCACCCCGTTGACGTCGCCATTGCGGGCACAGCTGATTCCCGACCACTTGAAGCAGTCCGCTCCTGAGATCCACGAATCTGAGCCGTCGAATTCGCCCCATTCGGATTTTATCGCCAGAAGCGCGTCTTCTTGGGAGGGTTCTATCACGGCTGCTTCGGATTGATGAGGTAGAAGCACGAAATGAACTATTAATAATGCTGTAACTATCGTTGCCCTGAGGTAGGGAGCTCCAGCGACTTGGACCAGTAGCGAGGCATGACGTGAATTGTGCGCATCTAGATAAGGCGCCATAACTGTCTGCTGTGCTGGTTGGGTTATCTCGGGGTGTGCTAAAACACACGAGGTCTACTTTCTAGGCTAATTTTCGCAAAGTACGTAATATGAAAAAAGGTAGCGAGAGTCATGTCAGAGTGATACAGCTCTCGAGATCAGCGAGGAGTTGTGGATGGATGAGCACAGCCGACCATGTAGGCCGCCTACCTTGCATACAAACAAGCCGTTTCTGGCCGTGGGAAATGAGTGAGAGCCACCCACCCTGTTGCGGTCGGTCACATGTGTGACGACGAACAAATGAACGTCGGGCAATGAAAAGCGGGAATGCGAAGTTGGGAGCAAAATGTTCACCTAATTTGCGGTTCGGATGTTCTGTCTGATTGGGCAAAGGTTTGAATTCCCGCAACGCTGATGATCGTTGAACAGTAAATTGGTGTGGCGAAATTTGGAACGGCGAGAGAAGGGATTCCCGTTCAAGCCACCGTGATCAACGCTCAAGTGTGTTGATTTGTTATCGCCCACGTACATGAATAAAGCACCTTACAGGTGCATACACATGTCACTTATAGGTTAGATAACATATTATGTCATTCATTGAAAGTTCCGTAACGTTTCCTGTAAGTAGTTCCATAAGATCTGCAGAGCCTCACATCGAGTCACAAAAACCATGAAGTGATAATGGAATTTCAACATAAAGGGTATCTTCAATCAATCCAACGTGCATGGAATAACAACCTAATATTGCCTCCAACAGGAGTTTTTAATTGATGCAAAGCTGAAATGAGCACTAAAACAAGCACTGTACAGGTGATTAACGAGAACAGCCTGAAATGAATCCTTACCCAACAGAGTTTTATCTCTGGCAATTTCCAGACTGCATCAGCGCTGGAGCACATGGTAGAAGAATTTCGTTTTACCTCTGCCGCCTGTAGCCTCCCTCGTACACGAATGATCAGTGCGGCTCGATGAGTACTGGACTTGCGATTAACCAAAGCCGATAAGCACGGCTGTACATGCGTCAGCTGGTAGAAACAAGGTCGTGATAGGCGTAAGCGGACATGGCTCCATCAGCGGCACCACTACCGTCAGCAGCAGCAGTGGAGCAGCACCACGAGAGCTTTCGGCGATGCGTGGACGATTGGGATTCTCGCGTGTCGGTGTTGACGCACCAGGTATGTGCTAACCCGTTATACGCACACTGGCTTCGTGCACCTCCTCCTTTACGTATCTGCGCACCCACCATCATGCGTATGGTCTTGTCTTCGTCAATGCATCTCCGCTTTCTCTTCCCCACATCCGATTCCGCTTCTGGTGTTTTCGTGTCAATTCCTGTCACTATGAATCCTTATTCGTGTATCAATTTCGGTCAGTATGTTATCAGCTCGCATCGTCTCACACCACTGCTTTCCGCAATAACACCGTCAGTCCTTTATCAGTTGCTCCATGTACCGTATAAGATTCCCATTTCATTCCAGAATTATCCTTGGGATCAACCCTTCTGACACTTGTCCAATGTCCAGTTGCAGTCTCGGAGCCAGTCATCATATGAATTAGACAGCTGGCACGACGTGATTGGCGTATCTGCAGAGCCATGGGGCGGAAGGAATCCTGCTGCAGCATCCATAGCAGCTTCTGTATTGGCCTCGGCAGCAGCAGCACCTGCAGCAGCAGCAGCAGCAGAAGCAGAGGGTTCAGCACGAGTGTCGCCAGATTCGTTGAATCTGCTCATTCAACACATCTCGTCCAAATGCTGTGCTATATACGATGCAGAACAGGAGGTGTGCGTGTGTGTGTGTGCGTGCGTGTGCGTGCGTGTGTGTGTGTGTGTGTGTGTGTGTGTGTGTGTGTGTGTGTGTGCGCGCGAGTGCGTGCGTGCATGTGCGTGTGTGTGATACACTTGTGACGATTTGTGGTGAGGGGAGTGCCTGTGGGGGTGTGTGTGTATGCATAAAACCTTTCTAAAAAAGGATTGTCTGCCCTTTCTGTTCATATTCCTCATTCCTCGTCTGCTCCCCACCCTCGTTTCTGCCTCCTGCCTCACTTCCCCTGCTTCTTTCAACCCCTTCCTGCCCCCTTACCCCTTCCTCCTTCTCCATCCCCCCTCCTCCATTTCTCCCTGTTTACCTCATCCTCTGCAGGTCTTACATCGGTTGCTGCCACGCCTGCTCCTATTTGGGAAATCTCCCACCGTCAACCCCCACTCCAGTGCTACTCCCGAGTCCTCTTCCTCCAACGCAGCATCCTCTGTTGTGGGGGGAACGATAGCTGATCAGCACGAGGATGGGGATGCGGGTGAAGCTGGGGATAGTGATGCAGAGGATAGGGGGGATAGGGAGGAGCGGGAGGGCAGGGATGGAGACGGTGGATCAGAGGAGAGTCAAGAAGAGAGAGATGATAGTAGAGGGTTAGGAGGACCAGCTGAGGCGAGAGGTGAGGGCGGTACAAGCAAGAGTGGCAGACCTCAAGGTGATGACAGCGAGGCGGGGCGGGATAGATCCGAGGAGGATTCGAAAAAATGCGAGGAAAGTGATTCAGTGGAGGAGGCTGAAGAGGCGGGCTGGGAGGGCGGGAGTGCAGTGGAAGAGGGAAGGGAGGGAACGGGAGGGGTGGAAGGGGAGGAGCAGCAGCAGGTGGCGCGTGTGTTGGTGGAGCTGCAGGCGCTGGTGCTGGTGGGGAAGGACCTCACAGCTACAATGGAGGAGCTTCTAGTGCTGCTCGTGACGCTGGTTGGAGGGGAGGATGGGAGGGGCGCAGGGTGGTGGGATGGAGGGCTGGGAGAGGGGGAGGCAGATGAGGGGCTTCAGGAGCTTCTCCGTTCTGACTGGTTCAAATCGACAGAGTATTTCACAGTAAGTGTGTTAATGGAGCTGCAGGCGCTGGTGCTGGTGGGAAAGGACCTCACTGCCACTATGGAGGAGCTTGTTGTGCTGCTCGTGGGGCTAGTTGGAGGGAAGGATGGGAGGGGCGCAGGGTGGGATGGAGGATTGGCAGGCGGATTGGGAGAGGAGGAGGCGGATGAGGGGCTTCAGGAGCTTCTTCGTTCTGATTGGTCCTTCACAGTGCGTCTTGATGCAGTCCTGTATAACATTAGCCGAGTGAAGCAATTTAGCCTCTGTTTCACCCACTCATCCCCGCACCTAAAGAATCACGGTTGTTTTCCTTTCCCCACCTACTCCTACTGATGGGCAGGCTGCAGGGACGCCTGTGCTCTTGGTAATCCAATCTGCATCTGCTCTTGATGCCAACCCTTCTCTGCTCGTTTTTGCATTCTAACCTATGGTACCCTGTGCTGCTCGTTCTTGGTACCCCTGTCTGCTAACCCCATCCATCTTGCTAACCTCTCAGCCAGCACTAGACGCGCTTGCAGCGGGGGCGGCTGTGCTCTTGGTGATCGACTCGGCACTTGCTGCCAACCCTGCTGTTGCCCGGGGGATTGCTGCGTACAACAGGTGCGTGGTGGGGGTGTGGTGGGGTGGGCATTCACACATAGACGCTGATTTTTCTTGACTTCTTTCATTGCCTTGGCTTGGCCCACTCCTCACGTCCATTCCCTCTCCATCACCCACTCTATATCCACAGCCCTCTAATTGCCCTTCATGATCCATCCCTTCTTCCATCCTGCCCCCTCGAGTTGACTTTTGAGTCGACTCAAAAGTAAACCCCCTCCAATTGCCCTTCATGATCCATCCCTTCTTCCATCCTGCCCCCTCCTGTTTATTCCTCTCCCATCCACTACTCTCCGCTCTCTCTCACTCGTCTTCTTCCAACACCCTTTTGCCAATCAGAATGCTTCAGGCAGTGCGTTGTAACATGGAGGCATACTCCTCGGTGCACAGCGGTGCAAAGCGGTACCAGAAACAAAGAGGGAGAAGCAGCAGAGGTCAACTCGAAGAGTTCGAGCTGTCTCTGGCGGAGCTTCAGGGGCTGCTGATGATGCTGGAAACAGCAATAGGGCCGCAAGGCCAGGAGGGAACATTTTTCCAGGTAGGTTTCCCCACATTCCTTCTCTCCTTTGTTCGCCTCCCTATCTTCTTTCCTTTGTCCTTTCTAATATTCTGCAATAACAAACAAATCGTGCCGCCTCCCAGTATCTCTTCAACAAGCCCCTCCATTTCTTGTTGATTGTATCCAAAATCTAAAAACTGGGATCGCCTCCCCTCCCATCCATTTTTGATAATCGCCTCCCCTCCCATCCCACCGGACGTTTCACAGAGCTGGAAGGAGAGTGTAGCCTGGGCAGTGGGTCCTGAGGCACCTCCCCTCGCTGCTGCAGCTAAGGCTGGGAAAGGAGGAAAGGGGGGCAGGGCAAAGGCAAGTGGGGGGCGGCAGGTGCTGAGCGGGCGGGCGCTGTGGCGGCAGCAGCAGAAGTGGCTGCTGCCGCTGGTGACTCACTTGAACGCCTCTGCTTATTCTGCTCTCCATGCCATCGGTAAGCTCTTTTCTTTTGAGGCGCCTAAAAAAATGCTGAGCGGGCGGGCGCTGTGGCAGCACGGCAGCAGCAGAAGTGGCTGCTGCCGCTGGTGACTCATTTGAACGCCTCTGCTGATTCTGCTCTCCATGCCATTGGTGCGTTCTGTTTTGTCCAACTTTTAAGATGCCTCAAACGTTGCTGGTGGTGGTTCATCGCAACTCCTCTGCCAGCTTTGCTCTCCATGCCATCATAAGTTCGTGCTCATTGTCATCCTTCCCCTATTCCTCCCCTTCCCCCTCTCGTTCCTTTTCCCATTCTTCCCTCCCGTCCTCACCTGCCCACCATGTCAATTGCACTGCCAGGCTGCCACTCCGAGCAGCACAACACCCACCACCACTTTTTGAGTCGACTAAAGAATTCTCTCCTGTCTCTTCCCACCCACCATGTCAATTGCACTGTCAGGCTGCCACTCCGAGCAGCACAACACCCACCACCACTTTTTGAGTCGACTAAAGTATTCTCTCCTGTCTCTTCCCACCCACCATGTCAATTGCACTGTCAGGCTGCCACTCCGAGCAGCACAACACCCACCACCACTTTTTGAGTCGACTAAAGAATTCTCTCCTGTCTCTTCCCACCCACCATGTCAATTGCACTGTCAGGCTGCCACTCCGAGCAGCACAACACCCACCACCACTTTTTGAGTCGACTAAAGAATTTTCTCCTGTCTCTTCCCACCCACCATGTCAATTGCACTGCCAGGCAGCCACTCCGAGCAGCACAACACCCGTCGCCACTTAGCCGGATGCATCGCTCTCTTCCTCTCCCTCGCACCCATAGCAGGTGAGGTGACCCACTTTTGAGTCGACTAAAAAAATCTACTTTTGAGTCGACTAAAAAAACCTACTTTTGAGTCGACTAAAAAAACCTACTTTTGAGCCGACTAAAAAAACCTACTTTTGAGTCGACTAAAAAAACCTACTTTTGAGCCGACTAAAAAAACCTACTTTTGAGCCGACTAAAAAAACATACTTTTGAGCCGACTCAAAAGCCACTTAGCTGGATGCGTCGCTCTCTTCCTCTCTCCCTCGCACCCGTAGCTGGTGCGGTGACCCACTAGATTGGTCTTTTCTTTGGTACCTTCTTAATCTGTTTCTTGTTTTCGTGTATTTGTTTCTATTCTCGTCTCTACTCAAGAATCGATACTCACCCTAATCATTCACCTTTTTCGTTCTCGTGGCAGCATCGGGCTATGATAAGCAACTCATGAAGGCCACCCCAAGCCTGTTCGAAGCAGTCAGGCTACATCCTCTGTTACCTCTCGCCGGACCCCTCCCCCTCTCCGCCTCTCTCCCCCCCCTCCTCGCCCTCCACCTCCCCCCTGCCCTGCTGGCGGTTTCCCCTGCGCCCTTCTCTGCCCTGGGGGAGGGGAAGGGTGGGGGGAAGGCGGGAGCAAAAGGGGCAGGCGGAAAGGGGGGGGTGAAAGCAGTGAAAGGGAGTGCAGAGAAGAGGGGGAACGGGGGAGAGAGTGCGCGTGGAGTGAGGGAGGTGTGTGAGGATGTATTGAGAGGAGCATTGGATCGGGCTAATGAAGACCTTCCAAGGTGTGCATGGCATTGGTGGTGCCTTCCTCCTGTACTGTGCTAGGAATGGCCATTCGGTCTTTCTGTCGTGATTTTTGAGTCATTTAAAAGATCACCTCCATGCCAATGTGTGGAAGGTGATGGTGCCTTGCCGTCCTCCTAGATTGTGCCAGGAATGCTGTTCGGCATTCCTGTCCCAGCTGATTCATTCCTGCCAGGAATGCTGTTCGGCATTCCTGTCCCAGCTGATTCATTCCTTCCCTCCTCTACCTGCCTCGCTCTCCGCAGTCCTCAGGCTCCCCCCTCGGACCTTGTTGAGTAAATCTCGCTCAATATCTTCCCCTTCCTCTCATCTTCCACATCCCCACACTTCAGGCTTGCGTCAGCCTTCCCTCCCCTAGCTGCCTCACTGTCCGCAGCTCTCAGGCTCCCCCTCAATCCTTATTGAGTAAATCTCGGTCAATCTCTTCCCCTTCCTCCCATCTTCCACATCCCCACACATACCAGGCTCGCATCAGCCTTCCCTCCCCTAGCTGCCTCTCTCTCCGCAGCTCTCAGGCTCCCCCTCAGGCTGTCTTTGCAGTGCGATTCCCTGGAGGAGGCGGTGGGGAGTCAAGTGAAGCTGGTGGAGCAGGTGGGGGGTTTTATATTGTGTACATTGCATGCAGGTGTGGTGTGGTGTGGGGTGGTGTGGGGTGGATGTGGGTGTGGGGTGTGGGGTGTGGGTGTGGGTGTGGGTGTGGGTGTGGGTGGGTGTGGGTGTGTGTATGCTGTCTTAGCATTCTTAGCGTTCCCATTCACCTCCTTGTTCCTCCAGGAGGGAGTAGGAAGTAGGTAGCAAGCAGGAGGCGTCGAGGCGAGGAGACAAGCCGGTCTATTCGAGAGACACATCGTCTCTTATCCCACACTCTTGAAAAGAAACACGTTACCCACTCTCACATGTTTCAGTCAGGTCACACCTGCCTTGGTCACATGCCAAGCGAGGTGGATTTCTGTAAATAAACAGGATTTACCTCCTCTTTTGTACGTTACGTTCTTTGCAGACTCTTGCCGTCACGTGCAGCGCGAGGCATCAGGTCCAGACTCTGCTTGAACTGCACGCCAGCCTGCGGGTGAGTGAGCTTCACGACGCCGGTTGCTCTCAGCATTACGAGTGAAGTGTGTGTGCCACAGCTCAGATTTCAGAGGAGACCTATATACCAACACTAAGTGTACAGTTTCCAAGTCCTGCATCCCCTTCCGTGCACCGACCAGAATGATTTATGGGGCGTTTGTTTTCCTGTCGTATGCTGTCTGCTGTCGTCATCATGGCAGGTGTCTCTCAAGAGGCGTCAGATTGTGCTCGTGGCTGCAGTGCTGCAAGCAATCAAGGTGAATCTAGTCGTTCGGCTCTAGTCCTGACGTGTGAGTTCCGGTACCAAGATACGAAAGGTGGAGTTTCACACGTTGTCATCATATGTTTATGCCGCGTACATTTTCATCGTATCATCATTGTCTTCCCTTCCGCGTGTGAACTAGTTTCTAGTTTTTTTTCTTTCCCCCCCGGCCCCCACTCCCTCCTTTTCCCTGCTTTGCTCCTGCTCCCCTTACGCTAGCAAGTGGAGTCGGCTCTGGCAGCGTGCCTCCCCTCGCTCTCCCTCCACCTGCCTCTGTACCAGCAGCACCTGCTGCGACAGCTCAACGCAGCCTTGCTGCCTCTTCAGGTGCTTTCAGGCTCTTCTCAGGTGTTTTTCCCAGGTACCTTCCGTTTTCATTCGGCCAGTTGCAGCATCTTGACAGCAACAACAGTCTCTGCTGTTCCACCATATACTTTGTGTTCTGAGAATTCCCAAAAGTGATAACCACCTCGAGCCTACACCACACACTTTGTGTGCCCCCCCTCTCCCCTTCTCATCCCATCCTTTTCTCTCTCTCTCACTTATTCCCTACTCCCCGCTCGCGTCACCCATCCGCTCCCCACCCCCGTCTTCCTCCCCTTCCCTCCCCGTCATATTCCGTCACCCCATTTTGAAACCACTAGATGGATCAGCTAGCGAAGCTACCACGACCGTCTCCCTTCCAGGAACACCCGCCAGGGGGTGCGGAAGGAGGGAGCGAGGGCATGGGGGGAGGAGGGGGTGGGGTAGGGAGCGAGTTGGCAGGCCAGTCGCCATCATCGGTTGCTGCTCTGCTTGCTTCAGCGCCCCTGCCTGCAGGCTCTCTCTTCCCTTGGAGCAACAGGGGTGAGTTGAGGCATGCCATAAATGACTTTTGAGTCGACTCAAAAGTCAACAGGGGTGAGTTGAGGCATGCCATAAATGACTTTTGAGTCGACTCAAAAGTCAACAGGGGTGAGTTGAGGCATGCCATAAATGACTTTTGAGTCGACTCAAAAAGTCAACAGGGGTGAGTTGAGGCATGCCATAAATGACTTTTGAGTCGACTCAAAAGTCAACAGGGGTGAGTTGAGGCATGCCATAAATGACTTTTGAGTCGACTCAAAAGTCAACAGGGGTGAGTTGAGGCATGCCATAAATGACTTTTGAGTCGACTCAAAAGTCAACAGGGGTGAGTTGAGGCATGCCATAAATGCCATACATCAGCAAAGCCGGTAGTGGTTCGCGCCTTGATGTTTTTGTACACGCATACAAAGTGCCGTTGTGTAACGGGAGGCTCATCATATACATATGCTAGAAAAAGAAAGAGATAAATGTAACGCCATGAGGCGACTTTTGAGGGTTTAGGGTTATCCTCCGCTATCCTCCTCAAAAGTCGCCGCGACTCTTCCTTCCATGCCCAAATGATTCATCAGCACCATCACATCACGTCACACTCCTTTCCTTCACATGTCCTTATGTGCTGTGCTGCTGTGCTGCTGTATTGCTGTGCTGCTGTATTGCTGTGCTGCTGTGCTGCTGTGCTGCTGTGCTGCTGTATTGCTGTGCTGCTGTATTGCTGTGCTGCTGTGCTGCTGTGCTGCTGTATTGCTGTGCTGCTGTGCTGCTGTGCTGCTGTATTGCTGTGCTGCTGTGCTGCTGTGCTGCTGTATTGCTGTGCCACTGCAGCTGCCATGGATGCCCACAAGAAGCTTGTCAACTCCATTGCCACTGTAAGTTCCTTTCCTGCTAGCCCTTCCTGTCACCCCTTCCCGTCACCCCTTCACACGCCACACCACATCACACAACGCTAACAGATCACACATTGCATCCACAGATCCTTCCCTCCGGATGCACCCATTCTGTCACATTCTCCCATCGCACCATCCACACCCCATCTCATAGTCCCTCTGTCACCCCACTCACCATCCCTACCCTCCAGCTCACGAGCATGCTTCAGCTGACGTGGCATCAGCTGCCATCGGATCGCCTCCTCTCCTTCCTCTCGACTGCCTGTGCCCTCCTCCCTCCCCTTGTAAGCACCTCCTCTTTCCGCTTGCAGTAACCCCTCCTTCACCCCCTGTACAAGCACATCTATCCTTTTCCCCACCGTTCACTCGTGTCAAAAGTTCGTGAAGGCTTATCCTTCGGGCCTCAATCTTTCCCCTTCTCTCCCCCCCACATTCCTCCAACAACAACCCCCTCCTCTCCCCTCTTCTCTTCCGCCCCCTGCTTTCTGCCAATCCCACTAATCGATCCACAGGTCGAAACTGTCCCCTCCTGCCAATCCCTACTCTCTCAGCTCCACTTCTCTACACTCCTCCCCGCCCTCTCATCCTCCTCACCGTCCTCCGCTTCCTCCTCCTCCACCACTGCCTGTTTCTTCCTCTCCTCGCGGCCGCATCTCCTTGCACCTCCGCTTGCTGCTCTCTACTCGCAGCCGCTCATCCAACCCACCTCGCTCCAGTAATTCTCTCTTCTCTCCTGAGACCCCATCCCACCGTGTGCTTTAGCATTTTTCACCGCTGCTGCTCTGTGCAGTGTGCAGCTCCCTGCTTTTGTATTCCGTAATGAGCCTCGCTTATCCTACCGAGCGACCCACTATACCCATCTTACCAATGCTACTGATGCGAACCACCTCTCACATACCTGATAGACGCCTTCTTGGATGACCGTTTTTAATCATTCTTGCGATTACCTTCTGAACCCTCCTCACCCTCACCCTCATTCTGAACCCCCATCTTCCTGAAACCTCGCCTAACCCACTGTAACCAAATTCTACTGCTGTGAACCACCTCTCAGGTACTTAACAGGCGCCTTTTTGAACGACTTTGTTTTATAGATTTCTTGGATATACCTTCTGTAACTTCACCCTCCCGCTGTGAATAATTTCTCAGGTACCTGATAGACGCCTTCTTGGATGGGGCACGGTTGATCCTGCAGCCGCACACACAGGAAAGGCATGGGAAGCAGCCAAAAGAGCACACGGGGAGAAGAAGCGGCAGCCGGACCATCTCGTGGGGCGACGTTTACAGCTTGGAGAATCAACTGGAGGCTGCATTGGTTCAGGTGAATGGCAATGTTCACAGTCAGATTTAGTATGAAGCATAATTTCAAAGGCCAGCCAAAAGATTGGCAACTAGGTCATGCATCCTATCCCAGTCAGTCCTCCAGTCAGTCCTCCAGTCAGTCCTCCAGTCAGTCCTCCAGTCAGTCCTCCAGTCAGTCCTCCAGTCAGTCCTCCAGTCAGTCCTCCAGTCAGTCCTCCAGTCAGTCCTCCAGTCAGTCCTCCAGTCGCTACTTAACTGGCCTTCCCTCTCCCCTTCTCCCACTTGCCCCACCTCACCCCATCGTTCTCTCACTAGTCCCTCCCCCAGCCGCTCACTCAAAAGTCCCTCTCTTTCTCCTCCCCAACTTGCACCACCTCCCCCTGCTTCCTGTCTGCAGTCATTCCTGCGGCCGCTCACTCGAGACGTCATTGCAGACCTCCATCTGCACGCCATCTCCCACTCTGATTTGCACTCCGCCAATCCGCGCTTCAACCCTCGCAAGGTACAACATGTCAAAATCCGCTTGGACGATCACACAGCTCAGATCTTCTCGCCCTCCCCTCACTCACTCGCTCTCAAGTGGACTTTTTCTCTAAGAATTCCAAGAACCCACCCACTGTGTTTCAAGATATCTTAAGCAGCACTCTCACTTTTATCCTCTAGTTTCTGTGTCCCCATCCCCTCACCACCCTTCCAAGCAGACAGGGGTGCGCAACCTGCAGCAGTTCCTACTGCTGCCGTACTTCCTCTGTGCCCCAGCTCCCTCCCAATGCTATCCTCCGCATTCCCACTGTGTTCCCTCCATCCCCCCCTCTCCAAATCCCCCTCACCACCCCTGCAAGCAGACAGGGGTGCGCAACCTGCTGCAGTTCCTGCAGCTGCTGCCCATCCGCCTGCTCTCCAGGCAGATTGACATACAAGCACACGTGACACAAGCACTGGCAGCCTCCCTCTATAATCACACTGCAGCCGCTCCTGCCAACTGGAAGGTCTGTATGCTTGGCGCTTGCCAATTTGATATTCGACTATTGGCATATTCAATCCTTGATTGCTTCTGTCTCCCCAACCTGCCTCTCCTCTTCCTTGCTTCAATCTTAGCAGTTATTTGCACTGGGGGCTGTCTGGTTTGTTTCAAAATCCCTTCACCTTGTGACTCCATAATCAATCAACCAAGCACATTGGTATTGTTTGGGTCCTTTTCCTCTCCTCCCTGGTGCCGGTTACCGTTGCCAGCTAGGCGAGGACGTGAGACAGCTAGCGGCCAGCAAATATCGGCTGCTTCTGCCACCGATCGCCATAGGAGGAGGCCTAGCGTTCAGACTCCACAGCCCCCCCACTTCCACCTCCACCGCCTCTCCCGCGCTTCCCTTCTCAATCCTCCATCCTCCCTCACTCGCTGCCAATCTCCCGTTCTTCGTCTCTGCGTTCTCTTTCGACCTTTCCACCCTAACCTTCCACCAACGGCCCTCCTCCCTGGCCAGCTTCCACGAACCTTCCTCACCCACCCCTTCCACCCGCCATGCTGACTCATCACCGGCGTTCTCCTCGCACGGGCCTCAGTCGCTCACGCTGCGCCAGCTGGCCGCTCTCCTCCAATCCACGCATGCCATGCTGTTCCTCCAGCACGCTGCAACGTCAGCGTGCAAGCTGATAGCAGGGAAGCTGTCTCACCTGTCGAGGTTGTTCCTGCATGACAGAGCACACTCGCTGCTGCTGCAGGCTTTGAAGCAAATACAGCAGCAGCAGAAGCAAGAAAATCAGCAGCAGGAAACGCAAGCAAATGTTCAAGCTAATCCTGCTAACACTGCTGTTGCTGCTGCTACTGCTGGTGGTAAAGGTGCTGCTGGTGCTGCTGGTGCTGCTGGTGGCACTGGTGTGGGTGGTGGTGGCGGCTCTACTCCAGTTTCTGCTGGCATGGCATTGACAATGGAGGCAGTAGATGAGCTCAAGAATGTGAGCACTCTAACCTCCTCACCTTCTTTCATTGCGCTTTACAATGGCTTAGCAATGTGAGCTCCTACCTTTTATTGTGCTTTGAATCTGTTTAGCAATGCGAGCGTCTACATCGCACCACCCCTTCTTACGGCTTCCACTTTTTAGTCTGACCAGCAGTTGCTTGCGAGCATTTGAATGGCACCACCTCGCCTCGCACTTGTCCGTGTGTGTGCATGCACGGGCGCACATGCATATGCGCATGCACATGCACATACATTCAGATTCAATGCATCCTCTTTGTTGTCTGCACTGCCTCGTTGTGAGTCAACTGAATAGCCGTCCGATTGTAGCGATGCTTGGAGGCATGCACATAGAGATTCGATGTAACCCCTACCTGTTCTCTGAACTGCCGCCGCTCTGCTCTTCCCACCTCTAACAGAAACTGCAGGAGATATCAGTGGACCCTGATTGGCGGACAGGCAAGCCTGCCCCTGCTACCAGATCCCACCATACATCTGCCACCCCTGCATCATCGTCAGCAAAAGAAACCGCAACTGCAGCATCTGTAGCAAGTGCAGCGCACGGGGTTGCAGGGAAGAGGAAAGATGAGAAGAGAGGAAGAGGAGGGGGAGGAGGGGCAGAGAAGAGGCCGTGGGGGGAGGTGGTGATGGAAGAGGTGAGGGAGATGGGTGTATCGCTCGGGTTCGTCTTGGCTGCTGCTACAGCTACCTGCCACAGTGCGGAACACACTCTCAGGTGAGATCAACTGAAGGAAATCGTGCTTAGCAGAAGTATTACTTGCTTGAGATGGCTTGGATGCTGCTGGCTGGAGCACCCTACCTCCGGCACTTTTCCTAGTCCCTCTTGATACTTTCATTTCGTCCTTTGAGATTCACGAGCAATTCTGTAACCCCTTCTTCTTCTCCTTCTCCTGTCTCCTCCTTCTCAATCCCTCCCTCTCCCAGCGCCCTTCCCTCACACGCTGCAGGGTCGCCCCTCCACCGAATCCTCCTCGCCTCGCCCCTCTCCCACCAGCCGCTCCTCCTCCTCTCCGCGCTCTCCAATACCCTCCGCCCAGCAGCGCACACTCAACCTGTTCCGCTGCTCCATCTGCTCGTGAACCTCTTTCAAAAGGTACACACCCTTTTCTTAGTCGACTCAATATGTGAGTCGACTTAAAAATCACCCAGCCATGCACACTCACCCTGTGCCTCTGCTCTATCTGCTCGTGAACCTCTTTCATAAGGCACGCGTCCACCCTGCCAGCACCACCAGTGGCTCATTCACTTGCTTACTGTCCCTCATGCTCCCTCATGCTCTTCCTCGTTTTCCCTGTCGAGTCATCTGAAATTTCTCGTTTCCCACGCCCCCTTCCCTCCTCCCCTTCCCCCCTGACTCTTTCCCCACTTTCTCTCGCATCCTTCCCTCCCTTTCAGGAGCTGCAAGCCTCATCTCACCGCCCTTTCCTCACGCTCCCTGCCGCCATTCCCCCGCTCTCCTTAATTCTGGCTTCCAAGAAGCAGCTAGCGCAGCAGAGACGAGCAGATGCAGTGGCGGGGGGTGGCAGGGACGGCCGTGTGGGGGACTTTTGCGTTGACTCACATACCCTCCTTTTTCACACCCCCTCCCATCTCTTTCAGGAGCTGCAAGCCTCGCCTCATCGCCCGTTCCTCACACTCCCTGCCGCCATCCCACCGCTCTCTCTCCTTCTGGCGTCCAAGAAGCAACTAGCGCAGCAGAGGCTGGCAGATGCAGTGGCGGGTGGTGGCAGGGACGGCCGCGTGGGGGGAGGCAGGAATGATAATGGGGCCGGCAGGAGTGAGGGAGGGAGAGGATGGGAGGGAGGGGGAGAGGGTGGGGGGGGCGCATGGGAGGGGCAGGATGACGACTGGTTGCCTGATGATGGATTCACCCTGGGAGTGGCTTTCTTGCTCACGGTACGTTACCAGCACTCCTGCTCACTCCGTGTGAGGATAATATTTTATTGAGACGTGTCAATAGTCCTGATGATGGATTCATGCTGGGAGTGGCTTTCCTGCTCATGGTGAGAAGAAGCTTTTCCTTCTCGAGGTGCGTTTTTTTTTTTTTTTTTTTTTTTATCGCCGCCTTAAATATCGCCGCCTTCCCTCTGGTCCTCCTGGTTTGATGCCACTGCTTCTTCTTGTTCACCAGATGCTCATATCTCGGACTGCAAAAGCATTTTCTTGTCACGCAAAAACCTCTAGCTTTCCTGTTTACACCGTGATTCGCCTGGTGTATTCTGCCCCGCCTCCCTTATTTGTCCACTTATTGGCTCTTTCGCGCTCTGGGTGGCCAATCAGCGCTTCCCTCAATATTCATGCATCGAGTCACATTTTTTTTTTCTTCTAGAATTTGCAGAATCATTCCGCAGTGCACCCCATCTGTGCGTCCTCTCCTGCCAGGTGGCCAATCAGCGCCTTACCTTTGAGTCCATGGACTGGTTCTCACTCGCCCTGCACCATCTCTCCTTTCAACGCCAAGCCATGCCCACCAACCCTCCCTCCACTCTCACTCCTGCTGCTGCTGCTGCTGTTGGCGGTGGTCGTGGTGCTTCTGCTGCTGGTGCTGTTGGTGCTGAGAAAGGCAAATCAGGAGGTGGAGGAGCAGATGTAGGGGAGGAGGATGATGAAGAGGAGGAAGGAGAGGGCACTGGAGGTAGTGGAAGAGGGGTGACTTCTCTCTGGTCCTCCTGGTTCGGAGCTGCGGTTGCAGCTGCCGAGCCTGCAGCTTCGCAGCCGGAGCTGTCTCCCGAGCTGACTCACCAGCTTCGGCAGGTTGGTTTGGCTGTACCCAGTCTCACATCCTGACTCCCAATGATGTGTATTGTTTCGATCGCACAGGATCCCAACCTGACCCCTTGTACCTGAACTTTTGCCTTAACCCAAAACCCATCGTCTCTCCCCATTTCTCTCCCCTTTGTCTTTCCCCATTGTCTCTCGCATTGGTCCTTCCCCTGTTTCTCCCCACTGTCTCCCATTTGTCCCTCCCTCTTGTCTCTCCGCATTTCCATTTCTCGTGGCAGAGGGAGCGAATGCTGGCAGGCATGGCAGAGCAGCTGAGCCTCATGAACGTGGTAACCATTGCTGCGCTCCGGCTGTTTGAATCCAGCTCAGCTGCCACACAGTGACACGGTGCTATGGCGCTGCAGGAGTTGCTGCTTATCGGTGTTACTGGCTTGATTTGTGAATCGACTAAAAAAATCGACGGTGACACCACCTCATCGACCACATAGTACTGACACGGTGCTGTGGCGCTGCAGGAGTTGCTGAGCAGAGTTACTCGCTGAATGTGCACTGTATAAAAGGTATCAACATATGGGTATATAAATACACTTTCGTACAACATCAATAACACGTACATTCACCTACTGGATTTCAGAATTGAAGCCAGGTCAAACGCATCGACCCGAACCAGCTTTCGCTCCTCTGATTCCTCCCCTCCAGGTTCACTCTCTCCAGACGCTGTTCTCCTGACCTCATTGCCCTCCACTTGACTGGAGCCGGTCTCTGCCTCCAGAAGCTCTCTCAGTTGGTCGGCAACCGATACTCTTCTTGTGCTGTCATCCAGTACGTCCAGTACAGGGGTGGGTGGCAGGGCGAGTGAGTGCATAATGGTCACATACGTATAAAGTTTCGACCTGGATCCAGCAGGTGACTCGTCCTACTCCAACAGGTAACTTGTCCTAATGGCAGAGCTTAGGTCATCCAGTCTGTACGTCCAGTACACGGGTGGGTGCCAGGGCGAGTGAGTGCATAATGGTCACAGCTTGATTTACATTCCATTATGGGCAGGCAACAAAGAACGTGTTTGGGTAACCAAGCTCCCCTCTTCAAAAAACACGTCCAAACCAAACCAGACGGGTGATGCAAAAATCAATCGAAGAGTTCACCAGGTTCAGTGCACGCACCTGTCAAAGAAGTTTGGAGCAGAACCAGCATCGCCCGAAGCAGCTCTCCTGTGCCACGGCCTGTGAGGCACCTCTTGGCCCACCCTCCTGCTCCACGGCACATGCTGCTGCCTGCCCTCCCCTCCCACCATCCGCAGCTGCCTCACTGTCTCTGCATTGCTCCTCCAGCTCCTGCCACCCCTGGTAAACCCAGACGCTCCTTGAGGCGCCTCAGAAGTCACTGCTGCCCGCAGCTGTCTGGCTGTCTCCGCGCTGCTTCTCCAACTCCTGCCGCTGCTGTTAGGGCCAGAGGTCTGCCGCTTGCTGCTGTGTGCGGCATGCATCTGCTGGGAGAGAACGCGGGGACTCTGCTGCTCGATGCTGGGCTGGATCACACGGCCCTGCTGCTGCTGAGAGCTGCCACGGAGTGAGAGGTGTAAGGGAGAGCGGTCATCGGGTGATCGGGCGAGGCGCTGACGTGGCGAGACGCGATTGGCGTTGTTGTGGATCATATTTACATCCCCAGCGGAGGAGGTTCTGCGATGCTGCTGCTGCCCTGCTGTCCGCAGCCCTTGGCTCGACACGTTGAATCCAGGAGAGAGCTGAGGAGGACCCAGGGAGGAGGAGGGGGAGCCTCCTCTTCGCCTGCTCTGTCCTGCCGCCTGTGCTGCTGCAACTGGTGCTGCATGTGCTGCTGCAACCGGTGCTGCATGTGGTGCTGCTGCAGATTGTGCTGCGTGTGAGCTGCCTGTCAGGTTCCTGTCCTTGCTCCACTGCTGCCCCCTGTTGTACTTATCAACAAGGGTGTTAACCGTCTGCTGAAGCGACAGCAGGCCCTTCTGTGAACCCGACACCACCGATTTGCTCAGCGTTGTCACCGCTTTCAACCCCGTGTCGGCCCCCATGCTCTTGCTCAGTGCTTTGAGTCCCGCGTCAACTCGCACACCCCTGCCTGGTGTTTTTGACCCAGGTTCGGCACGCACGGCTGTGCCCAGGGCTTTTGCTGCAGCTGGTGCTGCAGCGGCTAGGGAAGAGGGTGATGCTGAGAGGAGAGACGATGGCACAGAGAGGAACGAAGTAGAAGCTGATGTGGAAGCACCAGTTGCCGTGGGACATGCAGAGGGAGAGACGGAGGGGGAAGCGGAGGGAGAGGCAGGCAGAGATACAGCCTTGAAGGAGGTGGAATGATGGAACGCTGAGAGCATCGGTCTGCAGTCCTGCTCTCCTGTGCACGCCCAATCACTGCTATGGCTCCTGCCATGCACCGCCCCTACAATCAAAAGACACTTCGTGCTTGCATCCTCTTCCTGCTCCTCCTCTTCTTGTATCCTCCTCCCCTCTGTGCTGCACGGAGCTGCTCGTCTTCTAGCCTGAGCTGCTCGTCTTCTAGCCTGAGCTGCTCGTCTTCTAGCCTGAGCTGCTCGTCTTCTAGCCTGAGCTGCTCTCCTACTGTCATTGTCATCCCCGTCTCCCTCCTGACCGTCCCGTTCTGCCTTGCACCTGTTGCTCCCTCGCAAGCCAAGCTGCAGCGATCTTCTCAGCTGCCCCAGCTGCTCCAGCCGGCCTGATTGCGTTTCATCTTGCGTTTCATCTCGCTCCTTCCGTGAGCTACGGCCAGGTGGCATGTCTTGTGACAGCAACGAGGAGAAAAACATGTGCTGTGCTTCATGCGAAGGGTTCAGTGATTTGGGTGATAGGTTCGGTAATCTGAGTGACAGGTTCAGTGGTCTGGGTGACAGGCTCGGTGGTCTGGGTGACAGGCTCGGTGAGCTGGGTGAGTTCGGCGGTCTGGATGACAGGTCTGATGGCCTGGGTGATAGATTCGGCAGTCTAGGTAGCTTTGGTGACTTGGGCGGCAAACGGATTGACGGCAAACGGTCAAACATGCCAGGTAATGGCTGGTGGGAAACCAGGGATATGTTTTGTCTGGTGGGTGAGTTTTGAGATGTGTCAAGACTCAAACGGTCGGGCACGCCCAGTAATGGCTGCTGGGAAGCTGCAGAGGCGTGTTGCCTGGTGGGAGATGGTTGCTGATGTGCCAGCTGCAGCTGACTTAACGCCACTGTTCGCCTTTCCGGAAGGCTGGATGATGCGGTAACCGTTACTGCTGTTGCAATGGACGATGTGCTCAAGTGGTTCCCTCCTTGTGGTTCCAGCAACACATGATTCGGTGCTGACGTGCTGAAGCTCTCTGGGGAGCTAGAGAGGAAAGCTCGATCGGAGTTTTGGTTTGGCATGATTCGGTGCTGAGATGCTGATGTGGTGATGTTGTGCTGGTTTGGCATGCGGTGGAAGGGTGGGGAAGACTTTTGAGGCGCCTCAAAAGACGTGCTGATGCTCTCCGGAGGGCAAGAGAGGAAAGCTCCATCGGAGTTACGCTGAGATGCTGGTGTACTGCTGTTGTGCTGGTTTGGCATGAGGTGGAAGGGTGGGGAAGGCAGGCGGCTACGAACAAGGCGGTCTGAGTTTGAACCGAGGCGAGGAGCGGATTGAGATGCTGATATTGGTTTGGGGATCGATGGAGCAGTCAGGTGCTGAGAGGAAGGCGATCGAGCGGTTAGAGCGGGGGATTGGAAAAGGAAGTAAGAGGGGGAGTGTGGGGAGATGTTGGAGGAGGCGTGGGGGGAGAGAGAGGGGGCAGAGGAAGCAGCAGCAGCAGCAGTGCCAGCAGCAGTGCCAGCAGCAATGCCAGCAGCAATGACTGCACAGCTCCAACCACTAGCACTAACCCCTTCGTCCCTGCCCTCCCTCCTCTCCTCTCCCCCTCCCCTTACCCCACCACTCCATCCGTCTTCCCTTCCTCCCTCTGCCTCCACGTCAGATCTCTCTGCCCACTCCTCTTCCAGCAGCCTCCTGGACTCCAATCCCTCCAACCCCTGCTCGAACGCCCCTACTCCTCGCTCTCTCCTCTTCCACAGCCAAGCACTTACCCCCTCTGCTCCCTCTCCTTCACCTTCCTCTCCTCCCCGGCTCCTCACAGCTAACTCCCTCCCTTGCCTGTGTTGAGGCATCTCTGGAGTTCCCTTGCTTTCACACAGTCTCGGGAGAGTCTTGTACCGACGCATGCGCACCTTCTCGTTGCCCTCGGATTCTGACCCGCTATAAGCATCTGTGCTTACGTACAAGAGCCTCGCAGCAGCAGAGAGTGTTCGCTCGATGGTCATTCTACCTCCACTACCACCCCTCTCGCTTCTGCTCCCGTTCCTGCTCCCGGACCGACTTCCGGGCCTGCTACCATGCATACTACCAGACCTACTTCCGGGCCTGCTGCCATGCCTACTACCAGACCTGCTTCCGGGCCTGCTACCATGCCTACTACTGGGCCTGCTGTCACCATCACCATAAACAACAGCCTCTCCAAGCAATCCCTTTATCTCCTCATCCTCTTCCCCATCCTCCTCCCCACCTTCCTCCTGTGTCTCCTCCTCCTTAACATCTCGTATCTCAAGCCCTCTAATCTCTTTCTCCACACCATCCTCCTCCTCCTCTCCCTCCATCCCTCCTTTCTCAACCCCTCTTAGAACTGCTTTTCTCCCAAACTCATCCTCACCCTCCTCCACCTTCTCCTCCTCCTCCACCTCCTCCTCCGCATCTTCTCCCTCCTCAGCAACCCGTGTCAAGCTTGGCTGACCCACTGCAACAAAAGGGACACTGCACCCGCTGCTGCTGTTCGCTTTGCCAAAGCTACTCTGAGACTCTTCCACTCTTCTGTCACTGCTGCTACTACTACTCCCACCAATTCCTTTCCGACCCGTCTCAATACCCCCGCTGCCACTGCTGCTACCCCTGCCACTGAGTGTGGCAGCAATACTACCAAACACAAACAGGTCTTCCCGTTCCGAATGCTCCCCACCCCAGTTGCCACCTCCTGCCCACTCGTGCCTTCTCAATGCCACCCCCCCACCTGGAACTGCCCATGTGGGATCGGCTCCATCCGGGCCGTCAGATCCTGTGTGCAACGGATGATGATCAAACACGAGCCGTTGGATCTCAGCTTGGTTCTGAGCGTCCTGCAGGCGCGCAGCCTCTCTGTTGGGTTGGGGGAGAGAAGAAAAGTTCAAAAGGTGGGTGGTGTGGGGGAAGATAAGGTGACTTGTTCGAGTCAAAATGACTAATGAGCTGATTAGAAAAGAGGCGATTATTTCCTCTCTGAAGGGCAGTGGCTTGAAGGGTGGTTTGAACGACAGTTAAAAATGGAGTAGTGTGCTCGAAGGATGAAACCAAGACGGCTGTGCAAGCCAGGGAGGTTTTCTCATAACTGTTGCTTCAGCGATACCTGCTGCCTCGGCCGTACCTGCTGCCTCGGCCATACCTGCTGCCTCTGCCGTACCTGCTGACTGGGCCATACTTGCTGCAGCCGTACCTGCTGGTTCAACTCAACCATACCTGCTGGCTCGACCATACCTGCTGGCGCGGTAACCGCGGTGAATGAGGAGCAACACGTAGAGCACGCAGCAGCCCAACGACACAGCACCAAAGATGATATACAGCCCAAGGAACTTCTGCATCGACAGCTGCACTGCTGAGTCTGCCGCCAGCGAGGAAATCGAGGAGGAGGAGGAGGAGGAGGAGGAGGAGGAGGAGGAGGAGGAGGAGGAGGAGGAGGAGGAAGAGGAGGATATACCGCTGCGGCTGTTGCTGCTGCTGCTGCTGGGTTGGGTGCAAGAGCCGTTGATCCCAGTGAAGTGTTTCTCCCGCAGCTGCTGCAGCTTGCCGGACATTGACAGCTGCACTATCGCCTGTGAGACGTCCAAGCCCAGCTGAGAGCCCTTGGGGAAGGCCTGGGGGTAAAGGAACGAGTTGGGTGGCGGGAGGGGAGGGGGGCCCGGGGGGGGTGTTGATGCGTGTAAATAAGGGCTGCTGCAGCCCGCCGGACATTGTGAGCTGCACTAACGCCTGTGATACATCCAAGCCCAGCTGAGAGCCCTTGGGGAAGGCCTGGGGGGAAGCGACGAGTTGCGTGCGGAGAGGGGTTGAGATTGAGTGGCGAGCCCTCCTAGTGCACAGGCGCCACAGCACTGAACAAGCGCCCTCTGTAACCTAAGGTGACACAGAGTGCTGAAAACGACAAGGCTGAGGAGCAAAAACAACCAACGCTGCACAAGTCGAGGGAACAAAGGTCCAGGTGGCAGAAGGTAACTCGGGGTTTGGAACGAGTTTACATTGCAAAGAGTGCTTACAAACGCAAGGTTCAGCAGCGAGAAGGGCTGAGGCGCGAGGGCGACGTCACAGAAGTCGAGGGAGAAGAGCTCGAGGTAGGGGTTCTCATCCACTATCACCCCCACCCGGCCGGAGGTCAGCGCCTGTGCATACTCATCCTCGTTATTGAGTGCCACCAGACGGTTCTGTAGCGAAGCAGGAGTTGGGTTGGGTGAGAAAGGATGCGGTGAACAGGGTTTGGGTAGTGTGGGAGGCAGTGCGGTGCAGTGGGGTTGAGTACGATCCACATAATCATGTCAGTTTGGCAGGGTTGAATCTTCCATCTGAACCCACATGGTCCCTAGGCAAGCAAAGGTCCCTTCCCTATCCACCCACCAACTCCTCCAGGGAGGGAAACACAGGGATGCCCATCTGTAGCAAGTACAAGAAGCGACTAATTTGAAGGCGCCTAGAGAAAGAGCTTCTTTCAATGCACCTAGAAGTGAAAATAGCTGCTTTAAGTGAAAACAAGCAGCGAAAATAGCTGCTTTTAATGCACCTAGCAGTGAAAATGGCTGCTTTTAATGCACCTAGCAGTGAAAATAGCTGCTTTTAATGCACCTAGCAGTGAAAATAGCTGCTTTTAATGCACTAAGCAGTGGAAATAGCTGCTTTTAATTCACATAATTTACCCACCGCAGGAATGCCCATCTGCTGCAGGTACGCATTGACGAATGACCCCAGCTGGTAGCCAATGGGGGATGAGGTCGAGGCGGCGGAACCAATGTCCTGGTGGTGGGGCCGTGTGGGATGCGGTGGGATGGGATGAGGCAGGCTTCGAAAGGTCTCAAAACCCATAATGGAATGAGCACGTCATGCAACAGCACATCATGGGATCATGAGCACACGACGGGTGGACTGTGGAGGAATAGAGTCGTATGAGACTGAAAGGCAATCCGGGCTCTCTGAAGGCAAGATAGAAAGGTTATTGCATATAAACTATAACATGTATATATTATCTACATATATTTATGTATATACATATATGTATATATATATAACAGACTTGTTGGTTTCACCCAAACCACACTATTGAAATGCTGGACCGACTTAGGCACGCACAGTTGGGTTGCGCAAAACTTACCGGGTCGCTTTTCAGAATTTAAAAAAAAAAAAAAAAAAAAAAAAAAAAAAGACCTGTAAAAACTGTATCCAACATGTAAAATGACCTTACCATTGCGGAGGGTTTGAGCCGGTCGACTGTGACAATAGACGTGAGGTTCGCCGTGTACATGGTGACTATAAGGTAGCCGATGATGAGAAACACGATGACAAAGAGCCGGGCGAGGGAGGTGCGAACAGGGTACTCTGCCGTGACAATCACGAGTGGGGGCAGTGGCAGTGGATCGAGAGAGATATTTTGAGAATTCTCAAAAGTGGCTTCCAAATGGGGTGCTCTCTGCCGTGACAAATGTGTTTTGAGTCGACTCGAAACACGTGCCGTGACAACAATACCGATGGCAGTGGAGCGAGAGATATGAGAGCAAGAAAGCCATTCGCTTGGTCATCAGAACCACCGAGTCGATGGAATGGTGAGGACTGGGATGGGACACATAAAGACAAGCTGCTTCTGAGCGTCCCTAAGCTGGTTGCGGGTTAACCAAGTCACGCTGTTCCAAGTGCGGAGAGCTGGGCCGGGCAGGTCAAGAAGGAGAAGCCACACTACCATGATGGAAGGAGAAGCCACACTACCATGATGGAAGGAGAAGCCACACTACCATGATGGAAGGAGAAGCCACACTACCATGATGGAAGGAGAAGCCACACTACCATGATGGAAGGAGAAGCCACACTACCATGATGGAAGGAGAAGCCACACTACCATGATGGAAGGAGAAGCCACACTACCATGATGGAAGGAGAAGCCACACTACCATGATGGAAGGAGAAGCCACACTACCATGATGGAAGGAGAAGCCACACTACCATGATGGAAGGAGAAGCCACACTACCATGATGGAAGGAGAAGCCACACTACCATGATGGAAGGAGAAGCCACACTACCATGATGGAAGGAGAAGCCACACTACCATGATGGAAGGAGAAGCCACACTACCATGATGGAAGGAGAAGCCACACTACCATGATGGAAGGAGAAGCCACACTACCATGATGGAAGGAGAAGCCACACTACCATGATGGAAGGAGAAGCCACACTACCATGATGGAAGGAGAAGCCACACTACCATGATGGAAGGAGAAGCCACACTACCATGATGGAAGGAGAAGCCACACTACCATGATGGAAGGAGAAGCCACACTACCATGATGGAAGGAGAAGCCACACTACCATGATGGAAGGAGAAGCCACACTACCATGATGGAAGGAGAAGCCACACTACCATGATGGAAGGAGAAGCCACACTACCATGATGGAAGGAGAAGCCACACTACCATGATGGAAGGAGTATACTGTAAGGTTTGCAGGCAAAAGAAACTTCCAAGCACCACCAAATAACTCTGGAAGGAACAACGAGGAGATGTGGATGGGGAAGAGAGACACTGACCCAGGATGGCGTAGAGCGTTTGCAGGCCGAACCTGCAGGTTAAGCCTAGCTTCCCTACTGCTGCTCCCTGAGAATTATGTCTGAAGATCGCGTAGGGAAGAGAGACACTCACCCAGGATGGCGTAGAGCGTTTGCAGGCCGAACCTGCAGGTGGTGGGGTAGAGACGCACAGAGAGACACAGAGACGCACAGAGACACACAGAGATCGAAAGAGGTGATGAGCCAAGCCCCACCAGCACACACACACAGCGCCACTTTTTAGCATTCTCAAGCACGACCGCATCATAGACTGCATTCTGAGGCGCCTCAAAATACACCTCAAGCACGACCGCATCATAGACTGCACAGGCACGGCACGTACCGCATAGCGTTCTGCAGGCGCTGGTGGAGTTTCCCTCTAAAGGCCTCGTTTGCTCCAGGAACGAGGTGATGATTCCCTTCCCGCCAACACACAGTGCGAGTGTGACCCGTAATGTCTCAAAACGGAAAGTAATCGTTACAGGTGCACGTACCACGCGGCGTTCTGCAGGCGCTGATGCAGTTTCTCTCGGAAGGCCTCATTAGACTGCTCGTCCAGGAACGAGGTGATGAGCCCTGCTAGCACGCACAGCGCCATAGTCACTCCCCACATGCTCGCTGTGAACGGCTGGAACGCCAGCCAGGGACTTGAATTCTCCTTTGCGTACCCCATTATCCCCAGACCTGATGGCTGGGGATTGGGTCGGAAGGAGGAGGGTGATCCACACGAAGAAGCTGTGGTACAAACCCTAAACTTAAAAAACCTTTGCGAAGAAAAGACTTACTTATAAACACGAGTGTGAAAAGGAGAGTGATTAAATGGGAGAAGGGAAGGAAAGACGGCTTACAAAGATGGGGTATGTGAAGAACACTGCTCTGTTGCGTGTCTCTGTGACTGTGATGTCTCCGATGGCCCCGTCGTATTTCTGCAAGAGAAAGACAATGCGGAGGGTAGCATTCAAGCGGGAAAGAAAAAATCAGAAGAAGAATAAAAGATTAATGAAAACACGGAACGTGGGCAGCAAGTTGGCTGCCTGCCCCTGTCCCATACTGTTCGTCGAGCGTAGGTTTTTGAGGCGCCTAAAAACTGAGACAATTTTTTAGGCGCCGCAAAAACCGTCTTATCTTGGCTGCCTGCCCCTGTCCTATACTGCTCATCAAGGTTAGGGGCCTGGACATGCTACAGCAGCGCTACGCATTGTGCTTGTCTGATTCATCTGGCTACAACCAGCTCCCACCTTGTCTGCCACAGCCAGCACCATCTGGGTGTAGCTGGGGGAGACGTTATCCTTGCCGTACTGCACAAACTCGTACTCGAGCGGGTATGGCAGCATGGCCACAGCTGCTGCTACAGCCAGCACTAGCCTGCACCCACCTTATCTGCTACAGCCAGCACCATCTGGTTGTAGCTGGGGGAGACTTTCTCCTCCCCATACTGCACAAATCATAGTTGACAGGACAGAGTATGGCAGCATGGCCACAGCTGCTGCTACAGCCAGCACCCACCTTGCCTGCTACAGCCGGCACCCACCTTGTCCGCCACAGCCAGCACCATCTGGTTGTAGCTGGGGGAGACGTTCTCCTCGCCATACTGCACAAACTCATAGTCGAGCGGGTACGGCAGCATGGCCACAGCTGCGTGGAAAACGTCGATGCAGAACCCTGAGAAGCGCTCTTTGTCCTCTCCCTTGGAGATGTTGACAAACTGCTTGTAGACCTGAGAGGGGGGGAAGGGTGGGGAGGGAGGAGGGGAACGAGAGGGAAGTGGAAGGGGCATTGCAGCATGGCCACAGCTGCTCGGAATGCATCGAAGCAGAAGCCTGAGAAGCGGCCGTGGCTCTCTCCCTTGGAGATGTTGACTTTTGATACGTCTCAAAACTCTCCCTTGGAGATGTTGACAAACTGCTTGTAGACCTGAGGAGAAGGAGTGCGGTGTGGGCTCTCATGCATGGCAATGGCGCATGCATATATCCACATACACACGTACACACATATACGCCATACACGCACACACACGCACCCGCACTCGCACGCGTGCGCATACACGCACGCAGAGAATACGCACCACTTTATTTGGAACAGCTAATCGAAGTTTTGTCTTGGGAAATGCGCCTATGGGCACCTGTAAGCATGGCCATTAGGGGGGAGGCGCAGCAAGAGAAGGAATAAGGCGATGGAGACATGAAGCATGTCTTCTGATTGAGCTTGTGTCGACTGTGAATGAGCATGTATCAATCACGTCTAAACGGACATGCATGATTACATTGACTAGTACATGCAGTTGACTCAGACTCACTTGTGTCACCCCACCCGGAAACACTATGTTGAGTGCCTCTTGCTGGTTCTTGGATGGCCGCTGAAACAGGGAAGGAAAGGAGAGCAGGAGAGCAGGAGGGCAGAGGAGGAGAGTGGAGAAGGGGAGTAAAGGAGGAGAGGCAAGACGGATGGTTAGACTCGAATAGCAGAAGAAGGAATGGCTGATTTGGACACGGCATGGTTGAGCTCGGCACAGCATGACTGAGCATGGCACGGGCATGATGAGTCTGTTTTTGAGTCGACTCAAAAACATACTCGAATAGCAGAAGAAGGAATGGCTGATTTGGATACGGCATGGTTGAGCATGGCACGGCATGGTTGAGCATGGCACGGTATGGTTGAGCATGGCACGGCATGGTTGAGCATGGCACGGCATGGTTGAGTATGGTACGGCATGGTTGAGCATGGCACGGCATGGTTGAGCATGGCACGGCATGGTTGAGCATGGCACGGTATGGTTGAGCATGGCACGGCATGGTTGAGCATGGCACGGCATGGTTGAGCATGGCACGGCATGGTTGAGCATGGCACGGCATGGTTGAGCATGGCACGGCATGGTTGAGCACACCACACAATACCACATCACACCACACCTCATCACGCCACACCTCATTGCACTACATCACACCACATTGCACCTTTAGAGAGCGCGTGAGCTGCCAGGCAGGCGTCCAGAAGCCAACCCTCGTGGCCGTAGCGTTCACCACATTGAGCTGAGCACCTCCGTGACATCACAGCACACCAGATCATACCACACCACACCGCACCACATTACACCGCACCGCACTGCAGCACACCTTTAAAGAGCGCGTGAGCTGCCAGGCGGGAGTCCAGAAGCCAACCCTCGTGGCCGTAGCGTTCACCACGTTGAGCACCTCGATGACATCGGCTTGCAGATCACCGTGTGGGTTGAGGGAGACCCTGGGGAGATAGAGCAAGAAAGAGGGTAGAGGGGAAGTGGGAGGGTGGAATTTAAGCAAAGCTCGCTTTCCGGCCACAAAACTTTGCTTTGAGACGTCTCAGAACTCGAGTTGGGTTGGGTCAGGTGGTCCCGTTGCTGTGAGACGTTCCACAACTTCGTTTGAGACGTCTCAAAAACCTAGTTGTGTCGGGTCAGGTGGTCCTGTTGCTCATGCCTGCTTGTACGTCCCTGGTAAGGCCTTCAGCATCTTACCTTCCTGTGAGGCCTTCGAAGGTTGTGTTGAGGATGGCTTGACGGAGTGCCGGGCCCACTGCATGGGAGAGGGAAGGAAGGATTCCGAGCGGGAACAAGCGACGGAGGACAGAAAAAAGGGTAAACAACAAAGAAACAAGAACCCACATGAGAAAAGAAAGAGATTGAGGCGTCTTAGGGAAGATAGGTGGTGGGAAGGACGAGGAAAAGAGTGAAAGAACCACGAGAAGAGTGAAGGACAGAGGGTGCAGGGGAGGGAGGGAGGTAATAGAGAAGGGAACAATAGATGGAATACAATCAGACGCACAACGGACTGCCCCAACCTATCTAAGTTGCATCACCTGTGCATTGTGTCTCACAAGTAATGTTTTGAGACGTCTCAAAACACTCCTTCTATCACCTGTGCATTGTGCCTCACAAGTAAGCACCCACCTGAGTTTCGCTGCAGGTTCTGCAGCAGCGGAATGAGCCCACCACCCGCCTCGGCCCCTTGCCCTGCCACCGGCAGTATCAAGGCGTTGGTACTCGCGACAGCAGACATTGCAACAAAGTGTGCTCCCGTGCTGCTGCTACTGCCGTTGCTGCTCGTGCTGCCACTGGTGCTGCCGCTGGTGCTGCCGCTGCTGGTGTTACTGCTGGCGGTGGTTCTGTTGTGTTGCAGCAGGGAGTGCAGGGCGAGGGAGATGAGGTAAGCAGCATCGTAGGCTGCAAGGCTGTAGGTCTTAGGGTCCTCTTCAGCTGCCCCTGGGAACTGCTGTGGACTCAGCTGCTTCCACCGCTGCTTGAAGGCCAACAGGCGCTGCGATGGCGGGTGATAGGATGCTGTGATTATCAGACCCTGAGCAATGGGGGTTGGGAGGGAGGAGTGGCAGGAAGGAGAAGTGAGGTAGCAGGAGGGGGGGATGAGAAGAGAGGAGGAGAAGAGGGGAGGAGAGGAGAGAAGAGACGAGGAATCGAGTTGTGGGACATCTCAAAGGCGTATGTGTACTCTCCTAATGCACCCTCATGCACCCTCATGCACCCTCATGCACCCTCCTGCACCCTCGTGCACCCTCATGCACCCTCATGCACCATGATGCACCTTCATCACCCACCTCTGCACTCTGCAGTGTGGAGGTGTTGGCTTGAGCAGCCCCCTCTGATGCGATCCACACGTAGTTCTTCCCTATCATGCCCAGCTTGCTCGCTGGAATAGGGGTGGAGTGAAAGAGGCAAGGATAGGCGGGAGGAATATAAATCCCCTCTGATGCGATCCACAAGTAGTTCTTCCCTATCATGCCCAGCTTGCTCGCTGCGATAGTGGGAAAGGTGAAAGAGGCAAAGATATGCAGGCGGAATCTGAATTTTGAGACGTCTCAAAACTAGTGGGAAGGGTGAAAGAGGCAAAGATATGCAGGCGGAATCTGAATTGGCTCCCACTTTTTTCCACACGTAGTTTTTTTCGCTATCATGCCCAGCTTGCTTGCTGCGATAGAGGCAACGGTGGGGTTGATTGAAGCAGTCACATATATTAGGTCCGTTGTCCTGACCATATGCTACAAGAGGGAAGGGAACTCGGATTTGTTGTTCTGATACTGGCTGGCCCTTCCAAAATGTTACCCACAATGTTCTACAAGTATCGAGTGTACCTGTATTGAGTATGAGAGCAGACATGGTAGAGGAGGCGTGTAGCACATAAACCGAAGAGTCCACTGCCTTGCTGGCAGCGAGGGCCTGTGCCACGTCATCAGCTGTCCACGTGGACTTGACAGGCACTCTCTGGGCAATGTGCACATACGACGCCTTTCAGGTGCATGGGTGGCGGTAGGGGTATGGATAGTGGGAGGAGGAACGGGAAGGAATACGGGAGGAAAGGGGACGAATAAGGCCTCTTGTACCCCAGGCAGCCTCTGAGCGATGTGTACATCCGACGCCTTTCAGGTGTATGAGTAGGGGGTAGGGAAATGATAGGGTGGCTGGAGGGTGAACGGTGGCTGGGGGGTGAACAGGTAGGGGGAGGGGAGCAACTGCGATCAAGTGTGAATGAGTGTGAGTGTGAGTGGATGGTGATCAAGCGACTGTGCAAGTGAGCGTGCTGGTGTGTGAGTGAGCACCTTTGTTTCGAGGAGGTAGGTCATGAGTGCGGTGATGCCGTTGCGGCCAAAGCGGTTGTCCGTGTAGACTGCCACGAACTGCCTCCACTTGTAGCGCAGCAGCAGCGCTGCCAGCATGAAGCAGGAGAGAGAAAACAGGAGAGAGAAAGCAGGAGAGAGAAAACAGGAGAGAGAAAACAGGAGAGAGAAAACAGGTGAGAGAAAACAGGAGAGAGAAAACAGGAGAGAGAAAACAGGGGAGAGAAAACAGGAGAGAGAAAACAGGGGTCACCGCCAGCACATCTGCATACACCACCTCATCTGCATACACCACCTCATCTGCATACACCACCTCATCTGCATACACCACCTCATCTGCATACACCACCTCATCTGCATACACCACCTCATCTGCATACACCACCTCATCTGCATACACCACCTCATCTGCATACACCACCTCATCTGCATACACCACCTCATCTGCATACACCACCTCATCTGCATACACCACCTCATCTGCATACACCACCTCATCTGCATACACCACCTCATCTGCATACACCACCTCATCTGCATACACCACCTCATCTGCATACACCACCTCATCTGCATACACCACCTCATCTGCATACACCACCTCATCTGCATACACCACCTCATCTGCATACACCACCTCATCTGCATACACCACCTCATCTGCATACACCACCTCATCTGCATACACCACCTCATCTGCATACACCACCTCATCTGCATACACCACCTCATCTGCATACACCACCTCATCTGCATACACCACCTCATCTGCATACACCACCTCATCTGCATACACCACCTCATCTGCATACACCACCTCATCTGCATACACCACCTCATCTGCATACACCACCTCATCTGCATACACCACCTCATCTGCATACACCACCTCATCTGCATACACCACCTCATCTGCATACACCACCTCATCTGCATACACCACCTCATCTGCATACACCACCTCATCTGCATACACCACCTCATCTGCATACACCACCTCATCTGCATACACCACCTCATCTGCATACACCACCTCATCTGCATACACCACCTCATCTGCATACACCACCTCATCTGCATACACCACCTCATCTGCATACACCACCTCATCTGCATACACCACCTCATCTGCATACACCACCTCATCTGCATACACCACCTCATCTGCATACACCACCTCATCTGCATACACCACCTCATCTGCATACACCACCTCATCTGCATACACCACCTCATCTGCATACACCACCTCATCTGCATACACCACCTCATCTGCATACACCACCTCATCTGCATACACCACCTCATCTGCATACACCACCTCATCTGCATACACCACCTCATCTGCATACACCACCTCATCTGCATACACCACCTCATCTGCATACACCACCTCATCTGCATACACCACCTCATCTGCATACACCACCTCATCTGCATACACCACCTCATCTGCATACACCACCTCATCTGCATACACCACCTCATCTGCATACACCACCTCATCTGCATACACCACCTCATCTGCATACACCACCTCATCTGCATACACCACCTCATCTGCATACACCACCTCATCTGCATACACCACCTCATCTGCATACACCACCTCATCTGCATACACCACCTCATCTGCATACACCACCTCATCTGCATACACCACCTCATCTGCATACACCACCTCATCTGCATACACCACCTCATCTGCATACACCACCTCATCTGCATACACCACCTCATCTGCATACACCACCTCATCTGCATACACCACCTCATCTGCATACACCACCTCATCTGCATACACCACCTCATCTGCATACACCACCTCATCTGCATACACCACCTCATCTGCATACACCACCTCATCTGCATACACCACCTCATCTGCATACACCACCTCATCTGCATACACCACCTCATCTGCATACACCACCTCATCTGCATACACCACCTCATCTGCATACACCACCTCATCTGCATACACCACCTCATCTGCATACACCACCTCATCTGCATACACCACCTCATCTGCATACACCACCTCATCTGCATACACCACCTCATCTGCATACACCACCTCATCTGCATACACCACCTCATCTGCATACACCACCTCATCTGCATACACCACCTCATCTGCATACACCACCTCATCTGCATACACCACCTCATCTGCATACACCACCTCATCTGCATACACCACCTCATCTGCATACACCACCTCATCTGCATACACCACCTCATCTGCATACACCACCTCATCTGCATACACCACCTCATCTGCATACACCACCTCATCTGCATACACCACCTCATCTGCATACACCACCTCATCTGCATACACCACCTCATCTGCATACACCACCTCATCTGCATACACCACCTCATCTGCATACACCACCTCATCTGCATACACCACCTCATCTGCATACACCACCTCATCTGCATACACCACCTCATCTGCATACACCACCTCATCTGCATACACCCCCTCATCTGCATACACCACCTCATCTGCATACACCACCTCATCTGCATACACCACCTCATCTGCATACACCACCTCATCTGCATACACCACCTCATCTGCATACACCCCCTCATCTGCATACACCACCTCATCTGCATACACCCCCTCATCTGCATACACCACCTCATCTGCATACACCACCTCATCTGCATACACCACCTCATCTGCATACACCACCTCATCTGCATACACCACCTCATCTGCATACACCCCCTCATCTGCATACACCACCTCATCTGCATACACCACCTCATCTGCATACACCCCCTCATCTGCATACACCACCTCATCTGCATACACCACCTCATCTGCATACACCACCTCATCTGCATACACCACCTCATCTGCATACACCACCTCATCTGCATACACCCCCTCATCTGCATACACCACCTCATCTGCATACACCCCCTCATCTGCATACACCACCTCATCTGCATACACCACCTCATCTGCATACACCACCTCATCTGCATACACCACCTCATCTGCATACACCACCTCATCTGCATACACCACCTCATCTGCATACACCACCTCATCTGCATACACCACCTCATCTGCATACACCACCTCATCTGCATACACCACCTCATCTGCATACACCACCTCATCTGCATACACCACCTCATCTGCATACACCACCTCATCTGCATACACCACCTCATCTGCATACACCACCTCATCTGCATACACCACCTCATCTGCATACACCACCTCATCTGCATACACCCCCTCATCTGCATACACCACCTCATCTGCATACACCACCTCATCTGCATACACCACCTCATCTGCATACACCACCTCATCTGCATACACCACCTCATCTGCATACACCACCTCATCTGCATACACCACCTCATCTGCATACACCACCTCATCTGCATACACCACCTCATCTGCATACACCACCTCATCTGCATACACCACCTCATCTGCATACACCACCTCATCTGCATACACCACCTCATCTGCATACACCACCTCATCTGCATACACCACCTCATCTGCATACACCCCCTCATCTGCATACACCACCTCATCTGCATACACCCCCTCATCTGCATACACCACCTCATCTGCATACACCACCTCATCTGCATACACCACCTCATCTGCATACACCACCTCATCTGCATACACCACCTCATCTGCATACACCACCTCATCTGCATACACCCCCTCATCTGCATACACCCCCTCATCTGCATACACCACCTCATCTGCATACACCACCTCATCTGCATACACCACCTCATCTGCATACACCACCTCATCTGCATACACCACCTCATCTGCATACACCACCTCATCTGCATACACCCCCTCATCTGCATACACCACCTCATCTGCATACACCACCTCTTCTGCATACACCCCCTCATCTGCATACACCACCTCATCTGCATACACCACCTCATCTGCATACACCACCTCATCTGCATACACCACCTCATCTGCATACACCACCTCATCTGCATACACCACCTCATCTGCATACACCACCTCATCTGCATACACCACCTCATCTGCATACACCCCCTCATCTGCATACACCACCTCATCTGCATACACCCCCTCATCTGCATACACCACCTCATCTGCATACACCACCTCATCTGCATACACCACCTCATCTGCATACACCACCTCATCTGCATACACCACCTCATCTGCATACACCACCTCATCTGCATACACCCCCTCATCTGCATACACCACCTCATCTGCATACACCACCTCATCTGCATACACCACCTCATCTGCATACACCACCTCATCTGCATACACCACCTCATCTGCATACACCACCTCATCTGCATACACCACCTCATCTGCATACACCACCTCATCTGCATACACCACCTCATCTGCATACACCACCTCATCTGCATACACCACCTCATCTGCATACACCACCTCATCTGCATACACCACCTCATCTGCATACACCACCTCATCTGCATACACCACCTCATCTGCATACACCACCTCATCTGCATACACCACCTCATCTGCATACACCACCTCATCTGCATACACCCCCTCATCTGCATACACCACCTCATCTGCATACACCACCTCATCTGCATACACCACCTCATCTGCATACACCACCTCATCTGCATACACCACCTCATCTGCATACACCACCTCATCTGCATACACCCCCTCATCTGCATACACCACCTCATCTGCATACACCACCTCATCTGCATACACCCCCTCATCTGCATACACCACCTCATCTACACACATCACATTGCCTCATCTACACAGCAAGGGGATCACCAGATCTTACCGGCTATAGCTTGCATGTCGACGCCATCGTTGGGAATGGTCCGCATGAAGAATGGCCGAGCAAGCATCCCCCACTGTACCTAATTGCACACCACCGTACCTGCATGCCTCGCCTTTGTCTTACCGGCTATGGCTGTCTTACCGGCTATGGCTTGCATGTCGACTCCGTCGTTAGGGATGGTCCGCATGAAGAATGGCCGAGCACCCCCCACCGTCAGCTGCACGTCTGTTGCTGCTGCAGACACCAAGGGGGTCTGTGGGGTGGGGAGTCACCAGTGGGAGCAAGGATGGGGTGTTTTAAGGCGACCGGGTGACGTACGGCTGAGCACCCTCCACTGTAAGTTGCACGTCTGTTGCTAAGGCTACGTTTAAGATGGACGGGTGAAAGCACGGTGTGGTGATAGAGTGATGGTGAAAGGATGGGATGAGGTGGATAGAATGAGGCGATAGAATCAGACTCATATAGTGTTGGTGGGGCTGATTATTTTCCAGGAGCCTCGAAAAAAGCTCGCAATCTGCATGAGGCGCCGTTACAACAACAACAAAGTCGCCTAGCTTGTGTACGTACCTGAGTGGCAGTGGCAAGTGGGCTGATGAGAGCTGCCTGGTCAGGCGTCTTCGGGCCTAAGATTGGCACGCCACTGGCTGCTCTGCTGCTGCACTGAGGTGACTTTTGAGTCGACTCAAAGGTCAAAACCCTTCTCTGTTGACGTTTGAGGCGCCTAGCTTTGCGTCCAGCTAGTGTGCTTACATGGGTGGCAGTGGCAAGTGGACTGATGAGAGCTGCTTGGTCGGATGTCCCCGGGCCTATGATTGCCACTGGCCGCTGCTGCACTGTTGCCATGGCTGCAGGGGCAGAGGGGGAGGAACGGGAAGGGGAGGAGGGGGAAAATCCTGGAGAGTGGTAAGAGTGATGACGGACAATGTGGTGGATCTGATGTGGGTGATGTGGCAGAAGTGGCAGAAGCAGTCGATGTGGCAGACGTGGCTGATGTGGCTGAGCTGATGTGACTGATGTGGCTGATGTGGCTGATGTGGCAGGTGTGGCAGGTGTGGCTCCTGTGGCTTCAAAGGCGGTGCAAGAGCAAAAGGAGTGGTGAGGAGAGAAAGCGGTGGAGAAACGCGAGTTGGAGCAAGTACAAGGGAGGAGAGGGATTGGCTAGGGCTAGCTGCGAGTTGATTCTTCCGTTGAAAGAGACGGGCTGCTGCCACGTCAGCACTTGCGGCCCACCTGCCAGCTGGCTGAGCATGGATGGCGTGCTGGCGCTGATGTTGCCGGTGATCAGGCGGATGCGCTGACGTGGCAGGATGGTGGGGTCGCTGTTGACGTCAGCAACTGCCATGGTGATTGCTGGATAGGCGGAATGAGCGGGCGAGTGGGAGGGGATAAGGGGCAAGCGAGCGGACAGATTGCAAGCGAGCGGGTGACTTTTGAGTTGACCTAAAAGTCATGGTGATTGCTTTGCTGGACAGGCGGACCAGGAGGGTTAGTGGGAGGGGATAAGGGGCACGTGAGGGGATGGGGGGAGAAGTCACGGGATGGGGGGCACGCGGGAGGGGATGGGGGTTGAGTGGAGGGGGATGGAGGACAGGGGGAAAGGATGCGGGACGCGGGGGAGGGGATGGGCGCATGCGGGAGGGGCAGGCAGGGTGGGAGAAGGCAGCGACGAAGGTTGATGGGACGGGGAGAAGAAGATGGAGGGGTAGGGAGTGGTGGGGAGGGGTTGTGTGCAATCATCATCACCATCACCACCATCACCATCACCACCCTAATCACCTGCCAGCATGTTCAATCCGTCTTGCGAGTAGGTGGGAATCAGACAGCCCAACGTCACCTCCTCCCTCCCATCCACCCCCTCTTCCTGCACCCCGCGAATCTCGCCGCGAGTCGCGCCGCGCTCCCCGCCGTGCTCCGCACCCGTACTTCCGACTACACTGTTGGGCCCGCCGCCACTTGCGCTGGCGGCTTTCCAAGAAAGGAGTCTTGTCGTCTCTATTCGCGGTTCCGATTCTCGCGGTCCGAACTCTAGAAGCATAAGGTCTCGTGAGGCCTGCGCCTGGTCTCTCGGAATACGCTTTTGCGGAATCGTGTCGGCGGGCGGAATCGAGACGGCGCGCGGTATTACCGCCGCGCGCACACCGCTGGTCGCCGCGGCGAGTGCGGATCCACCACTAGTACTTCTCCTGACACTACCGGCGCGCAGCGGCGCGCCATGATCCGCGGAACCTTGCGGAGAGTCGCGGAGGGCGGAGGATAAGGGGGGCGCGGATCCGCCGGGTACGTGATAATAGCGGTGGTCAGAGTCCCCCGCAGGGGTGCTTGACGAATCCGACCGTGATAATAGCGGGGGTAAGAGTAAAACCGCGAGAAGCAGCGTGATTTGCGGCCGAAAGAGACGGGGATGGAAGGGCAAGCGGGGACGCGGCGCGAAAGGTTTTGCTTTACGCACTTCGAAAGCCGGAAGTTGCGGATTTTCTGCCACGTGGCGCGGGGAGTAGGAGGCCGCCAGGCGTGTCTCCCCGGGCGGTCTGCACGGCTCCGGCCGAGGTATAGCATAAGCAGGCTCTATATTATGCGGATGATCCCAATGGCGGGGCCGCGGGCGAGGTCTATAGTGGGTGAAATCGCTTCTATGAGTCAGCCGCCGGCGGGACTCCTCATTGTTCGGTGGGGTATGGGTGGATGGCACACAATGGCGACGTGCGGACATGAGAGAGGGGGAAGAGCGGACGGCGACGGCGATGACGACGACGACAACTTGTCGTGACAAAAGTTGAAGACAACGACGACGATCGGACAACGGAGGTCCAGCTTAGAAGAGAGAATCGCAGAGGCGGACGGACATAGGAGAGCGACGACGACGCCGGTGTCCCGCTTACGGAACCTTGGCAATAAAGCCAGATAAAGGTCTCGTTCCAGCTTCTGTTATCTGAATCTTTGTTTCGACTAGACAACTTTGGCTGAGAGGACCGCAGTAGTTTGTAGCAGTGTGGTGGAGACTTGACAGAAACGCAGTCACGGAGCAAGATGGACGGATGAATGGTGAAGGCCGATATTGACGGATGGTCCTAAATTCGTCTGGCATACCTCATTTGGTTGTGTTGCTGCACCGACACTTACTTCGTTAGATGCTCTTTCGTCTACATTCGGTGACCCATGTCGTCGTGTCACATTTTCACATCGTTCTGTTTCTCTCCTGTATTGTACACATGATGCCCACCCCATGCACGCGAATTCGCTCCGTACCGGATGGAAACGCTGCACCCGAGGTTTTTTCCCCAGCCTGTTGCACCCACGGTACAAGCGCGTCGCGTGGTTATAAACCAATTGTAACGAACAGACCGAAGTCAAAATGAAGAGACTGAAGTCAAAATGTCAACGGATAGGTTACAGATCCTTTATATAAGCACCTGCGAATCCTTTTTAGCTAGCTGCAAATTGACGAAACTTATGCGAAATGCACGATACAGCTTATACGCCCCCTTCACAAGGCAACCGGGAGGGGCTCAATCAGGCATCAGTTTGTACTCGGAAGGAAGAAACCCACACCACCTTTGTCGTGTCAATTCTGAACTTAGAACGACAAAGCAGTGCTCTGTGCGAGATTCGCAGAGCAGTAGACTGTGTAACCGACCCATGTAGTTGTTCGTGAAGAATCTGAAGGACCTCAGGGCGGTCAACTACAGTGTGTACGACAGTACACCTACAAAAACTACTGTAATTTTTTGTTTTTGTGCGTGCAGCTCCGCACCCCACGTTGACATGACACACTTGTGTACACATGATGCCCATTTCAGTCCCCTTCCCCATCTTTCCCTGTGCTCCTCTCTCGAGCATGCGTTCACTAGGGGCAGAATGGGACTGAATGTAGAACAAAGGTTGACTACAGTTGCGGAAATTGTGGGTAGCCCAGCGTGTTTTGTCTGGGAAACTCGAACATCTTGGTTTTGTCGTGGGCTAGTAACGCGCGGGCCGTTGGCTGTGAATGTCGACCACTGGGCGTATGGAGTGGCAGTGGGCTGGTTCAGAGTGGACGGTTGAGTGAGCATTAGGGTGTATGGGGATTGTCCCACAGGTTGCCATAGACCGGCTGCAAAGACAGAACCACGGCCTTATGATCAAGCACTCCATGTAACCCTACCGCACCTCTTAGGTGCACTGCACATCACTACCGCGACAGTGCCACCACCTGTTGGAAAGGGATCCCAGCACAGATCAGGATTCCTCCGTGGCATTTCGCTGAAGTCGTTGTCCTTGCTGGCTTTCGCGAGAACTTTCGCGAGAGCTATCTCGAGAACTTTCTCCTCCTTGCTGGCTTTCGCGAAGTACATTGATTGATCTTTCCATCACGCACGACTCGCGGCATTCCCATGTCCATTGTCCTTTCAGAAAAACCACCTGTTGCCTTCAGGGCTGATTTTATCACGGTAATTACCCTGATTTCAGGATGATTACAGGCTTCTCACATGGTAGTCCCTGCAATTTCAGAATTCCGACATGTGAACACTGATCCATTCAGCATAGTGCTTTAGCGTCCCTGAAATATTGTATCTAGGCTCAGAGTAGTGTTCTTACTGACTCTGTCAATGTAGAGTACGCGTTCTGTGGACTCTGAATTTGACCTTATCGGAAGTAAGTTTCTCAAAATTTTCCTTCAGATAACCCCGCCGTCGGATTCGTCGTAGTACAGCCAGAGCGTGAGCAGCGCGCGGCAACATGTCTGACAGGTAAATACACTCTACTTATGTTAGTTTCACAGAATTGGAAGATGTAAGCTATATTGTCACGATTGCGTGTGCGTGAAGTTACCAACGCTTACTTTGCGTTTCGCACAATGAAGTTGGCGAATCGCGGGTAATCAGTGAATAAGAAATCTTGGCACATCTACGGTACCGAACTGTTTGGTGGACCGAAACTGCTCGTTTCTTCCCCGCGCTAAAACGTGTGAAGTACTAATTTCACAAAAGTAAAGGGTCAAGAAGTAACGCGCACAAGGTGTGCACGAAATGATGTCGCGTTGTGTTGGAATCCTGCGGGGTGAAACAAGTTTACCCGTTAAACACAGTGCGCGTTACGACATTGATGTTCAATTCTCGACCCTCAGCAATCAGAGTTAAATACTTTTCAACACTGAGCAATCAGAGTAGCCTACCTGTGGAAAATATGCACCCATAATACAGGGAGGAAATTTTCCCCGGAATCAGGGAGGCTTAAAATGAATCAGGGAGTTGCCTTCCATTGCATCACCAAGAAGAGGAAAGCGACAACTGAACGGAAGGCAACAGGCGGAGGGGGAGGGAATAATAGCAGGCGCTGGACCAGCAATTAGCCAAGCCAACACTGCAACCACAAAGCGACTGATGGCACACTCACATCAGACTGGTGTCATTACACCCTATTCTCGATAATTGCACTGTCATAATGAGGAATGGGTGTTGCATTGATGTTGGTTGGGGTACATATAACAAACCCTAACTTCTGTACCCCCTAAGACAAACCTCACTACAGGCTACAACATTTGACACACCCCCATAGCCTAAGTGAGGGGTGTCTAGCAAAAAAAAAAAAAAAAAAAGTACGGTCACAAGACCAGTCCAAAAGAAAACAAAGCTCAGGGTGGATCACAACGTCACCACACACTCTGAGCACAAGCAACAGTGGCCACAAGGCCAGTCCAAGAGATCACAAGTATATATAGTAAGTGTACAGACGAAGCAGGCAATAAACTCAAGTCTACGCATGACTAGAACCTGTGTCAACAAGGCCTAACTGCACACAACACCTCTGGTGGTCACAAGGCGGAAGCGCCTTGGTGAAGATGTCTGCAGTGTTGGCCTCGGACTCTACAAACTCGAAGCGAGCCTGTCCACGCCTCTGCAACTCTCGCAGAAGAAAGTGCCTGACGTGAATGTGCTTCACTCTGCTCTCCAGTCGCGGCTCACGACAGAGGAGGATCGACGCCTTGTTGTTAGTAAACAAGGTCGGTGCAGAGCTCGGCCGCTCACCAAGGTCGGCGAGCAAGAAGGTCAACCACCGCAACTCCTGTGCCGCCATGGCACCAGCGTAAATCTCAGCCTCAGCTGTAGAGGTCGAGACAGAAGAGGAGCGCGTGGAACGCCAGGAAACAGCTCCAGAACCCAGACTGAAACAGTACCCCTGAGTAGACCTGTGAGTCTCAGCGTCGTCAGCGTAAGAGGAGTCACAGTGACCAGTGAGTACGACAGACTGCTGCCCTCCAAGAACTAGCCCCACGCCTGATGTAGTCGCTAGGTACTTCGCCACCCTCACAGCTGCCGTCCAGTGAACAGGACGGTGTCTCCCTGGCGCAACAAAGCGCGCAAG